GGTTTCTCATGTGTGTGTTTTCTTTCTCTCCTCCTCCTCTCCCTCCTCCTCCCGCCGCCTCTCTCCTCCTCCCCAAACACACACGTACACACACACGCTTCCCCTCTCCCTCCCCCTCCCCAAGGCCGAAAAGGCAAGCCAAACCTGCAGCCGACGAAGGCTTTTGGGATTGTAGCGTGTGCACCTTCAGGAACAGCGCCGAAGCCTTCAAATGCAGCATCTGCGATGTCAGGAAAGGCACCTCCACAAGGTACGTCCGCACCTTCCGACGCGGCTTTTGCTCCGCGCTGGGCTGCACCGACTTGTTGATTTTTTTTTTTTTATTTATTTTTTTTTGTTTTGTTTGCCTGTTGCCCGGATATCGGCTGCTTGCATTCCCCCTTCCCCCCCCATGCAGTCCCTTCTCTCCCCGTTCAAAAGCTTGTGGATTTTAAAAATTCTCTTTCAAGCGTTTAATTGGAGCTGGAAGACATGTTTCATGGATGTGGCAGTGACCTGAATCTTTTTGTTGTTCTGTGCTTTTTTGTCGCTGGTATGCGGAGGACCTCTCGGAGATCCGCGGGCAGCCAGGAACGTTCTGACTTTGGTTTGGGGCAGACAGTTTTCTGTGGTTTGGGTGGAGATTTACCTCTGTTTTCTACAGGAGTAGAAATGATTGAGGGTTAGGGAGCGAGAAGGGAAACTGCTGAAATGAAATATGCCACGAGAACAACTCCCTTCCCAAGATGTTGATCTCTTGGTGTCTGTTGTCATCTGAAAGGAATCGGCTTTGTGCTCAGTGTGGGAATGGTGCGGATTTCTGAAAGCTTTAGCTGTCAGGTCTCTCCGATTGCCTTGCGCTGAATAACTGTGGAAGTCTTTATGAGATGGTGAAGATGACATACAGTACTCAATTTAATTAAAAAAAAAGACCCCAAAACTTGCACTGTCCCAGCTGATGGGTTCAGAAAGTTTGTCCTTGAAATACCAGTCGGCACTAAAACGAGCATGTGGTGCTCTGCTTTTTCCTTCTTCTTCTGATTTGTTCTACCACGTTGACTTCCGATTTTGTTCATATTGTACCTTCCAAACGTGAGTTCCCATTGCTCTGCCCTGCCAAGGAAGCAGTCTGTAAGATTTCCGTTGTGAAAGGCATCGTTTTCCTCCTTTGAGGGGAGCAGCATATTGAGATGCTCTCATCAGCAGGCTGGTTGCATGACTTGGCTGTCTTGACTTGATTGACAAAGGAGGTGAAAGCATGTTCGGTTGGTTATTGTTCACCCTGTGCTTTAGACAATATGAAGTGCCTACATTTTTAATGGGGAGCATGCTTTTGGGCCATTGAAACTCTGTGAGTTACAGCAACAGAGTGCTGTAGTGCTTCGCACCGTGTTTTACGATGCACGTCGGTTACAAGTATCCCTATGCGTTTTACAAAATACACAGAGGTGTTGAACTTAAACCAATTTTAAATAGCGTGGTTACAGCATTGAATAAGGTCGAGCTTTTGGGACAGCAGTGCTCTGTATGCATCTAGAGCTGATTCTTCACTCGTTTTGTTCAATCTTATTTTGTCACGCAACTAAACCTTCACAGCACGTTTGATTTCCGTGGCTTTCTGTTTCCTTGGCTTCCCTGTTGGCTCAGGTGAAACACGTTGATCCTGCAGTCGCCTGGTATTTAACTGTGCTACTACAGTGCGTAGCCTTGCAGTCACCGAGAGTTCTCGCTGCGGCGCGTCAAGCATGTGCATGGGTGTTTGTAGGAGGAGAGTCTTAATGAGATGTAGGAGCCCATATGGGTTGTATCTTGTGTCAGACTCGATCATTTTCATTTGGCCACCATGCTGATGTTCATTTTGAGAGCAGCAGCTTTCTCTCGCCCGCCCTTTTTTTTTTTCTTTTTTCTCTTTTAATGATAATTTTCAAACTGTTTGTTGAGGTAGTAGGATGTTTTGTCTGTTAAAGGACCCTTAGGAGGGGTAACAGTTGGTGATTTCAGGTTAAGAGCTGTAGCCTTACTTGCAGATGTGATCCTCGGGTCTAGAACATTGTACTTCTGTTTAGCTTTTAATGGACCCTTATGAATGGCTTCTAATTTTAATTCATTTAATTCATCAGCTTTCTATTCATTTTTGCTGCTTTTTAAATTGCTTTTGTTTGTAGAATTTGAGAAAGTATTTAAAATATTCAATGGACCATCATCTCTTCTTGCATATTTATATCGTTTATGAATAAATATAACCGAAAGCAGGAGTGACTGAATCTTGTGAGTGAGCATCGTATGCTGAGGAGACCTGGGAGGTCAGGGTTCTTTGTTGTGGTGTTGCTTTGGGTGTTACAGTATGTGACGTACAAGTCAATGCCGGGGAAATTCTTCAGAATTTTTAAAATAAATGACTGATGTAAAGACACTTAATGAGTTATGACTGATAATTTATTACTTGAAATATAAGGTGTCTGATGAGCTTGACTTTTAAGTTGCAGTTTGACAAGTTGATGACACTTCTCCACATTTAAAACTGCCTTGCTTCATTAAGGCTTACTTCAAGAACACTTACTGGAAATTTATCAAACTTTTTAAAAAAACTCACGAAAGTAGTGAAAGACAGACATCGTAGACGTGGTGAGGCAACTGGTTTTCATCAAATTATTGTGTGCAATTAGCACTATGCCCAGTTTTTTTTATTAAGATCTGGTATGACCTATTTCCCCCCTTCCCCCCCACCTCCACTGTGAAGCCAGTCATTTGCTGTAGAATTTACTTTGGCTGATAAATATTCTCTGATTTGAGAACTAGTTAGGACGTTAGTTAATTCTCACCGTGTGTATATTTTTTCAGACTCGATATAATCTGTCGCCGTGTGGGAGGGGTGGCTGGCAGCAGTGAGGAGTTTTACTTTTCTCAGATCCAACTATCCCCTTTCCCTAGGATCTCATAAAAGGAGCTTTAAACGCAGTGAATTTTGGAGTTGATGCGCCAAGTCAAAATCGCGGTAGATGCTAAATGGTTAAAATTGCACCTGAATACTTTTTCAAGGGGCTGTTTTATAAATATTTCAGTTGCACTTTTAAATAAAAATGAGGTCAATTCCGTCTCAAAAGAATTGGGAGTTGTCGTGCAAAGATTACATTAAACCTGTAGCGAGTACTTGAATACTGGATTTGTTACAGTATGTCACTAACTCCCTTTCCTCAACTTTAGTCTTGCTATTTTATGGTTAAACTTTATTACACTCCATTTAGGCAAGTGTGTTGGGTTTTTCTACAGTCTTCCCTCTGTGAGGATCATGGCAAAGATAGAAGCTATGTTCAAAGCAACGTTCAGTTGGGTGAGACAATGATTTAACTGGCTAGCTTGGGAGTGAGCAACGGTAATGTGTTTGCTGGGGTGTACAATACTTCTTTTTTTTCTTTCTGGAAGATTTTTGTATTGGTGTAACGGCACAGGGAACTGGTGCTGGCCACCACTTCTACTTGAGTCCTGTGGCTCTTCTGGTGGTTTACGCTGGTGTAGCCCCGTCAGCTCCTGCACGCAGGAGGAGGTTTGGATTAAAACTTCTGCTGGGAAGTCTGCTCCACGGATGCGTGTTCCCTTCCCATATCCATTACTTCTTCAAATGCAGAAGGAAAGTTTACTTTGGATTTCCTAGGAATGTGAGGGGAGAATTTGGCCTCGTATTTCCCTTTGTGGGGAGCCGTGTGTTCCTATTTGAGGGTAGGCGATGGCTCCCTGTTCCCGTTTGTTTTTCTTAACGGTATTCTTGCTCTTCTTCCCCTTTGGTTCTCTGATGGTTTGCATATGTTGTGTTCCTGTACACCTCTTCTTGTAGCTTCCTCTCCTCCCAGGTGTGGCTGCGCAGTGTTTCTGCATGGGATTGCTTTCAGACATCAATGTGAAGGAGAATATTTCCCCCCTCCCTCTTGATTTCATGGAGGTAGTTACTGTTTTCTGAAGCTTTCCTTTTGGATAAATAGGCAAGCGATGCGGAGCTTCTCTGATGTTAATTTTTCTCTAACTTTAGGATAAGTGCTTTCTTTTTCTGAACTTCACATCCTCTATCGTGAATGTGCCTTGATTACAGAGAAATGCACTAAAAAAAGTCAGTGGAAGATGTAAGAGCAACAACTGGATGTCTGACATGCAAATTAACAAAACAATGGGACTTTTCAGTACAAAACTAACAAGTTGTGTGTGTGTCTTCTGCAAGGCGTGCACTTAATAAGCATTTCTGTTGTATTTGTTGCTAATACCTGTATGCCTAAAGTGCATGGTTTGGAGTTTGCATTAAGCAATTTGAACACGTGTTTGATTGCGGAGTGCTCAAGGCGTGTATGTCAGTAGTGCTTCACTCTGTTGCCATCCTTATTTTTGAGGGGAGGCTGAGCTGAAATTATTCATCATCATTTTAAAATAAATTTTCTCTTGTGTGGAACAGGTGTCTGATAGATACTGGCCTTTGCTCTCCTCCAGTTCTCCAGAAAATTCCTTTGCATGTTTGCAGGATCTAAGCTAGAACCTTGAAGGACATAAACTACTGTCCATGTCACCACTGAAAAGTATTGTCTTGTTCTGCATCCAAGCTGGGCTGACCAGAATAGACACCAGATAGTCCTGCTATTCCTGGAACGAGGAATCAAGCTCATGATCCTGACCTCCATAGAACTAATATATGCCCTGCTTATTTGCCATGTATTTGTGGGACTGGTCTTCTAAAAAGGCTTGCTTTGGTGTGTAGCAGTGGTGTAGGTTGGAAGCAAAGTGGTTTCATTCAGTTCTTTCAAGTTAAATAGCTTTCACCTGCATTAAGGTGGGCTTCATTTAGCATCATAGCTGGACTTTAAGTGATGGTTTTTCTATAAAAATGGAGTATGTGACTCGTCTGGAAAAAGCTGTTGTGGAAGGGACGTTGGAGCCTTTACACTGCAGTATTTGTTTTACTAATTGGCCATGTAGATCTATGGTTAAATCATCCCTATTTTTCCTGTTGATCGCTGAAGTTAAATGGCAGTGGAATCAGGTGGGGCGGAACGTGGTCTGTACCATCCTGGAGTCATGCCAGCACTCCACGGGGCCATCCGGATCCTGAGGATGTGTCCCCCTCTGGGACTGCTTTGTGCATAGTGGGTGGTGAGAATAGCTGAGCTCTGCCTAGGTGGTTTTGAGTGCTGGGAATGCATGATACCTATTTGCAAAATGTTTGCTCATGTGCAAGGAGTTCTTCCCATCTCTGTTGTCTCATACCTTGTTTACCAGCGCTGTCTAAAAGTA